TGGACGGAATTCCTTGCAGCGTATTCCTATACGCTGCAATACCGTCCTGGCAAGCAGCTGGGGCACGCAGATGCCCTTAGCCGTTGCCCCCTGCCGGAGACTGACCCCAGCCCCGTACCAGCCCTCTCAGTTCTTTCCATAGCCTCTTCCGCCCTTCCAATCTTGGCCGCGGACGTCGCGGCCTATACTAAGGCCGATCCAGTTCTCGCCCAGGTTTGCTCCTGGGTTTTGAGAGGATGGCCCATGGACAAGGTGGCAGAGGGCTTCCGGTCCTTTAAAGCTCGGCAAGCTGAGCTCTCCCTTCACGGGGGGGGTCTCATTTGGGGGATCGGGTCATGATCCCTGCTGCAATTAGGCCCAAAGTCCTGACTCTGCTCCACAAGGACCACCCAGGCATAGCACGTATGAAGGCATTGGCCCGCAGCTATGTCTGGTGGCCGTTGCTGGACACAGAGATAGCGGCCTATGTAGGCCGCTGCACCACTTGTCAACTCTCTAGGCCCAACCCCCCAGTCGGGCCTGCTCGCGAGTGGGAGGCTCCGAGAGGCCCTTGGTCACGCCTCCACGTAGACTTCGCTGGCCCCTTCCACGGCCAGAATTTCTTGATCATGGTGGATGCCTACTCTCGGTGGGTGGAACTGGTGCTAATGACCTCCACCACAGCCGAGAGTACGGTCAGGGCCCTCCGCAGGTTGTTCGCAACCCACGGGTTGCCGGACATACTCGTCTCTGACAACGGGCCACAGTTTACAGCCACCACATTCCAGGAATTTCTGGCTGAGCAAGGGATCCGGCATGCGCCCACAGCCCCGTACCACCCAGCTTGCAACGGCCAGGCGGAGTGGGCGGTCCACTCAGCTAAGGAGGCTCTGGGCCGCATGGACTGGGGCGACTGGCAGTCAAGGGTGGTGGCTTACATGCTAAGCCAACACTCCACCCCCTGCCCAACGACCAACAAAAGCCCTGCGGAGCTCTTGATGGGCCGGCGCCTGCGGACCCCCCTGGATAGGCTCCATCCGGACTATTCGGGGGATCAGACGTGCAACCTGGGGGTCCTCCCATCCCGTTCCTTTAAACAGGGGGACTTAGTATGGGCCCGGTCATTCACAGGGGATCCTAAGTGGGTGCCAGCCGTAATAAACGCCCTGACCGGTCCCTGTTCTTTCAGGGTCGGACTGGCCAATGGATCCAAGTGGAGGCGCCACTTGGATCAATTGAGGAGGCGCCTCCCTACGGAGCTCGGCGAGCCTAAGAACTCGGGTCCAGACAACGCGGCCGCTCAACAACCGGAATTGGATTCACAGGCCTTCGCACATCCAGGCCTGGCCTACCAAGCTCCACCAAACTGTGAAAATTCCATTGAGTTTCCTCAAGCCGACCAATTCCGGAATTGGGCCTTCTCCAAATCAGGCCCGGCCTACCCAAGCGCCCCCTGTCGGGTAGCGCCACAGTTTTCTCAAGCTGCCGCTGAGTATTCGCCGACTAGCACTCCTCCCCCCGTTGACACTCCTCCGTTTCCCTACGCTACAGCTGTGGACGCGCCACCCCGGCCCAGCTTACCATTGTCGGTGAGCCTGCCTTCTGGGCCGTTCCAAGATGGTGTCACCCGGAGCTACACTCCCTTCGGGGAGGAGCTACCACGAGCAGGTCCTACCCCTCCGACGACTGTAGGTGAACTGAGGAGATCTTGTCTTCCTGTTCGAACCACAAAAGGGGGGGGTCTGTTTTCGCCCTCCTCAGGCTCCTATAAAGCCTCTGGAGCCTAGGGAGGGCGAAAAATGGCTTTTAAAAAGGCTGAACTGAAATGGCATGCGTGCCTGCCAGGTAACAG